ACTGACTGTGCTCACTCTGTATGCCAGCCACTGCGCCGAGCACGTTCGATGCTTGTTGAATGCTCACAACTAAACTTGTGAAGTTTATGAGCTACTATTACATTATTATAGATGCAGAAACCAAGACTTAAAAGATAATGCCGATTGTTCTGCACTTTGTAAGGTCAGAAAATTATGTGTATGGAGCTTCCCAGTGTTGAGGACTGGCTTTCATAATGTGGGAATTTTGGATCTTTGTAGGTTCTCTGGTGGGGGCTCAAAAATTTGCAAATTTATTCCCAAGTGGAAGCATACAGTGTGTACTCACTAGTGTTTTGCAATTTGCTCTCGCCAACATGTTTTTGCGATTCATTCATGTTTGTGTCTGCCCATTTTTTGTTCCATTTTTCTGTTGCCTAGTATTTCATTGTATGTTTATACCACACCTCCTCCATTCACCTTTCGTGGACATCTTGGTTGTTTCTAGTTGAAGCTATTAAGAATAAAGCTTGCCCTGGCTGGTTTGGCTCAGTGGATAGAGCGTCAGCCTGGGGACTGAAGGGTCCCGGGTTTGATTCTGGTCAAGGGCATGTACCTTGGTTGCGGGCACATCCCCAGTAGGGGGTGTGCAGGAGGCAGCTGATCGATGCTTCTCTCTCATCGATGTTTCTAACTCTCTATCCCTCTCCCTTTCTCTCTGTAAAAAATCAATAAAATATATTTTTTTAAAAAAGAATAAAGCTCCTTTGTACATTTGAGTACATGCCTTTGTGTGGACGTATGCTTTCGTTATTCTTGGCAAAAACCAAGGAGTGGGAGTTCTGGAACACATGTTAAGTGTATGTTTTACCGTACATGCTAAGTGTATGTTAAGTGGATAAGAAGCTGTGAAACTGGTTTCCAAAGTAGTTGTACGGTTTCACAGTCTCGCCAGCAATAAGAGTTGTCGTTTCTCCATATCTTCATCAGCACTGGGTGCTGTCAGTCTCCCTAAGGTTGGCTATTTTAGTGACTAGGCAGCAGTCCCCTCCTTGTCCATGGTGTGTGGGCGGGGGAAGGGGATACATTCCGAGACCCCCAGTGGAGGCCTGAAGCCACGGGTAGTATCGAACCCTATCCATGCTATGTTTTTTTCTATCTAGACATTCCGATGGTAAAGTTAATTTAGGTACAGCAAGAGATCCTATATATTAAAAGGGTAATATGCAAATTGACCCTAACAGCAGAACGACTGGGAATGACTGGTCACTATGACACACACTGACCACCAGGGGGCAGATGCTCAATGCAGGAGCTGCCCCCTGGTGGTCAGTGCACTCCCACAGGGGGAGCTCTGATCAGCCACAAGCAGGCTGACATCTGCCAGTACAGCGGTGGTGGCAGGAGCTTCTCCCACCTCCTCAGCAGTGCGATGTCCGACTGCAGCTTAGGCCTGCTCTCCGCTGGCAAGTGGACATCCCCCGAGGGCTCCCAGGCTGCCAGAGGGATGTCTGACTGCTAGCTTAGGCCTGATACTCCGGGGAGCGGGCCTAAGCCAGCAGTGGACATCCCCCAAGGGGTCCCAGACTGTGGGAGGGCACAGGCCAGGCTGAGGGACCACCCCCGAGTGCACAAATTTTTGTGCACCGGGCCTCTAGTTAACAATAATAACTAATAAGATAGAACAATTATAACAATATACTTTAATAAAAGTTACATAATGAGGTCTCTCTCTCCTATTGTACTACACTCACCGGTTCACTTAAAGGATGCGCTTGCGGCTTCCCTCTGGCAGATCCGAATGGCAGCATCACTCCTCTTGTGCTTGGGGCCATTGCTAAGTAAAATAAGGGTCACTGGGACACAGGCACTGTGATACCAGGATGGTGGACCTGATGGCCTAGCAGGCTACTCAGCGGCTAATGGGCGGGAGCATTGCAGCGTGATGCGCTGGACAAAGGGGTGAGTCACATCTCAGGCGGACAGAGCTGGACAGCACGAGATTCACGCGAGTCAGAATAGCATGTAATTTAAAACGTATGGATTGTTTATTTTTGGAATTTCCCATTTGACATTTTTGAGACCATGACTGAAAGCCCAGAAAGTGAAACCGCAGATAAGGGGGGACTACTGGCTACTGGCATCTCATTGTGGTTTTAAGTTGCATTTTTTTGAGTAATGATACTAAACAGATCTTACTAGAGGCCTGGTGCACGAAATCTGTGCACTGGGGGGGTGAGGGTCCTGCGCTCTCTCCCAGTCCGGGAACCCTCGGGGGATGTCCGACTGATGGCTTAGGGCACGGCAATTGGACATCTTTTGCGCAATTTGGGCTAGAGAGGGACACGGGAGGTTGGCCAGCCGGGGAGAGACAGAGGGAGGGGTCCAGGGCATGTCCGGCCCATCTTGCTCAGTCCCGATCTGTCGGACCCCAGCAGCAAGCTAACCTACTAGTCGGAGCGTCTGCCTTCTGGTGGTCAGTGCACGTCATAGCGAGTGGTTGAATGGCTTTAGCATATCATTAGCATATTACGCTTTGATTCGTTGAACAGGTGACTGAACAACTGGACACTTAGCATATTAGGCTTTTATTATATAGGATTGGTGTTTCATGTCTCTTCAATGGTGAAATGTCTGTTCATTATCTAGATAGAAGTCTTTTTATTCTCACCATCGTAGAATACTTTCTTGCCTATCATGTCAGCAGTACTTCGATTTCACTTTGCTTTCTCGCTTACTGGCATTCACTGATTAGGCATCAATAACGAGAGAGGAGTTAGTGAGCAAGTGATTTATTTTGGGTCACTTAGGACTTCAGTTGTCAACAATTGTAACAGGTTGTCTGTTTGCTTGGTCAAGTGTAGTTGAGACATTTGAAGAGAGGAATTTGGACCTTGGTCATTTAACCTTTTTTGTTAATATGAAAAATTGGAAATTGACAGTAACTTGTGCCACAGTATAAAATATGATAGTTCAGCATTTACTCATCATTGAAATGATGATGCCTTCGAAGGTCTCGTTTGTTTCAGAGTGCCTTCTTCATTAAAAAATACTTTTTACCATGTGATTTTTGTGATATTATCTTGTGTAATTTTTTAAAAAAAATGTATTTTATTGATTTTTTTGCAGAGAGGAAGGGAGAGAGATAGAGAGTTAGAAACATCAACGAGAGAGAAACATCGATCAGCTGCCTCCTGCACATCTCCTACTGGGGATGTGCCCGCAACCAAGGTACATGCCCCTGACTGGAATCGAACCCGGGACCTTTCAGTCCGCAGGCCGACGCTCTATCCACTGAGCCAAACCGGTTTCGGCTATCTTGTGTAATTTTTATTTGTGATAACTGTCCTGTGGAAATTTAAAGTATACTTTACAAGGTATTGAGAAGGTATCCGTTTGTCATTTGTATTCACAGCAGGCACCCACCTGCCCGTTGTCAGGGCATCTGTCACCTATAGGTATGGCTGGGCAGTGCCTATCTGTGTATCAGAAACTGCTCAGATGTATCGGCCTCTGAGACTGAGGTTTGCTTTGCGGTCTTTTGAGCCTGTTGCTACAGTGTGCATTGGTTTTGTCACTTATTTAGCTCACTCATAGGAGCATGACTTGGACTGTGATTGGTGAGGCAGAGCTGTTAGAGCATGCCTGGATCCTCACCGCTCCACCAGCTTAGCTGCGTCACGCTTGGCAAGTTGCTTCTTAGTATTTCAGTTTCCTCTCGGGGACAATAATGAGGTTATTGTTGGCTTTACATCAGTTAACACATGTAAAGCAATTAGGATACCGATTAGCAGATGATAAAGACTCAGATGTTCCCGCTGCTGTTGCAATTGTTCTTGTTACTATTATTACACTGGGTCTTCCCTGGATACCTTTCCTCATGGTTTAGTCCCCTTCCTGCCGCCATACTTTCTCTCTCGCTTTGTTTTTCTCATGAAGGACTTCTTACTAACCTGCCATATATATTGGGTATTCTTCGGTCACTTGGGTAAAAAGCTGAAGAAAGCTATAGACATTGATTTGATAGTTTGGGCAATGGCTTGTAGTCCATGCAGGTTAGTTAGAAGTAGAGGGAGCTAGGTGGTTGGTTGGGACCAGGTTTGGGCGGGGCAGCAGTTAGAGGTACAGGTGTCTAGCCCTTGCCTGGACAAGCAGTGGAATTTAGAGGTTCAATATATGAAATTTATTTGCAACTGGCTAAAGCACTAACATTTTAGTTTTGGTTTTATTTTTTGAAGATCAGAGTGTGTTTCATGGTAGATAATTATACAAGAACTACAGTCATGCAAGTCTACATTATTGGATTAGCATCATAATTTAGCCTGGCATTTGGGGTACAGAGAGGCAAAGTTTTTAACCATCTTTCCCTTTTCTGCCTAAATGTCTTGCTACTGTTTCCAAGCAAAAATGTAGCAGGACTGGATTATTTTTTATGCACTAATTCATTGGTTAGTATTCCCACTGTTCCTTTGTTAATGTGAATTATTGACATTGATCAGTTTTATATTCATTTTTGGCATTTTATGGTCATTTTCATTTTATGTTCCCTTAAAAGATAGTGAAAGCTACAAGTATATATATTGTATACGAATACAAACATGTATTCTGGCAATAGAAATCACCCATGGACAGTTTTCTTTCTAAATGGAAATGTTCACTGTACTGCATTCTCAACTCTTTTATCCAACCATAAATTCAGTAGGCTGTGTGTATCAGGTGAATAGAAAGCATTATCATGTGATATACTTAGCGGGTGGGGAAATGGAACCCAGGGAGCCAGTTGGTGAATCTTGGAGTGCATACAATGTTACTGAACATTTCAGTAACAATCTCTGAAAAAATGGATTAGTGACATTAGACATGCTCAGTGGCCTAACATTGTATTTCTTAGCCAAATAAAACAATTGACTTTTAAACATTTATTTTTTTATTATTCAGCAAGTATTTGTGGAGCTATCTGCCAGCATAATGTTGTTAGAATTTGTAATAATGAAATATATTTAATTCTGTGTCGGAGTTAAGAGCAATTACTAACCCATCTCATATTTTTTTTCTTTATTAAGGAGTCGAATTTTGTGAAAAAGTCACAAAGAAGAAGTTTCTTCAAGGATCCTATCTAAGTGCACTTTTTGTTGATACGTCGTTTCTAGTAAGACACTTTTCATTTTTCTCTGATATGAAGTAAATAAGTACCATGGAAATGCTTTGTTTAAACATCTAACTTTGGGAGTTAACTATAACCCATTCAGACTGTCTGTGAGTTTGAATGGCAGTCATTTTGGAGTTTATCTTGGGGATTAATATAGATGAATTAAGGATTTATAGAGTCCAATTGAAGTGCATAAGAGTATATAGTGATAGTTTACCTGACACTGTTCAGATAACATGGATCTTTTCATCGTTGCCACCTCCATATCAATTACCTTGTTTGTTGGTTTTTTTAAAGAACAAAAATATCTACAGTAGGTAGTCTGTGTTTATTGTGGCAAGAATGAGGAAGATGGGAGGGTGTGAGGAGAATTGCATAAGGCGAGGAAGGAGTTTTCAAATAACAGATGAAGAGGACAAATCTAGCCCTGTTTCTTAAAAGGTGGGAAGGGTCAATGAAAAAAATTAAGCTAATTTAGGAGATGCTTGAAAATGTGGGCTTTTTTTGTGTGTGTGTGACTTTGAATTTATTGCCTTAAATCATAGGCCCATAATTGCAAGGCCCTGGAGTGCTCTATTTCGATTTTAAGCATTATTGGTCCAGGTTAATGGTTCCAATACGTCAGTAAGATGTGTAGTCTTACGCAGAAGTTTTCATGAGTGAACCCTCATCTGAAATCTACCTTTTTGTTTTTAATAGGGGAAAAACTACATCGATATTAGACTATTTTAAAAAAGTGGAATTTTGGAAAATGTTAGCAGGGGGTATTTCTGGAATGTTATAATAAGTTAGCGTTAACATTTCAAATATTAGATCTCGTTGATGAAGCCTGGTTATGTCAGTAAAAACCTTGGGAAAGGTACTTAAGACTTTTTGTTGTTGTTCTTGTCATTGTAAGAATAGTTTTGCTATTTAACATAAGGTCTAATTTTTTCCTTGAATATGTTAGAAAGTACTTTTATAAATTTAGAAAATGAGTTCCTTGTTAGAATACTTTATTCTGATATCAGTTTCTTGTAGCTTTATATTTTTATTGTTAAACTTGGAAGAACAGTGTATTCTTATATCTTTCAGTTTAGGAGAACATGGAGAACAGGCATTGTTTTTCAGTCGAAGCAAAGTATCCTTCAGACCAAAACTTACATATGTCCAGCAGGATGGGACTAAGGATGTCTCATTCACACTTTAAAATAGAATCCTTGGTCTTGTGTAAAATCTCTGAATGTTCGTTTTCTTTCTTTTTCGTCTTATTGACATTTCTCCTAAGTTCCTTTTGTCCGCTAACTGCTCAAAACGGAATGATGGGAGGTGGAGCACTGGAGGGAGCACTTAGCCTCAGAACTCTCATGCCCGTTGCTCAGAACTCTGGCCCTCTCTGAGCCTTGCTGATGGCTCTGTGCGTAACGGCAGCTGCTCTGTTCTGGGTCATGCTTAAGCGTTAGGAAGTTACGAGGCTTCCTTCCCTAACTAAGCTCCAGGATGTCGCCAGTGTCTTATTCTTCATGGCAGGCTTTCCATGGCTCTGAGGGTGATGCGTGAGTTCATAACTACTTGCTTAGGCGTTACTCTGAGAACTTAGATGGGAAATGAATGCTCTTTCCTTTTGAATAGATTCATATGTTGACTCAACAGCTTCCGATTAGGGATTTCCCCCTATACTTGTGCCCTAATTTGGAGTAGAAATTGGAGGAGTTGGCACAGAGATTGGGCAAAAATTTTTCTAACCTTTTTTCTTTTCTTTCATGTCTTGGAACTGTTTTGGGCTTCTGTTTTAGGTCTGTGATCCATTTTGAGTTAATTTTTTTATATGGTGTGAGGTAAGGGATGAGATTTATTTCTTTGCAAATGTAACACTTTTGAGAAGCTAATATAGTCCCCTGTTGAATTACTTCGGCATCTTTGTTGAAAATCAGTTGCCCATTATATGTGGGTGTATTTCAGGACTCTATTCTGTTCTTATTAATCTATAAATCTGTCCTTAACGACAACACTGTATTGTCTTGATTATACTGTAGCTTTATGGTGAGTCTTAAAAGCAGATGGTATAAATCCTCCAATTTTGTTCTTCTATTTCTAAGTTTTTCTATTCTAGGTCCTTTCCATTTCTCTTCATGTATTTTAGAATCAGCTGGTCAGTCTCTACAAAAATGCCTGATGGCATTTTGATTATGAACGTTTTTATCTTACAGGCCAGTTTGGGGAGAGTTGACCTCTTATGGGTATTTTTCTCTGTAGGCTTCTAATTTAATTCTGTTGTAGTCCAAGAACATACTTTGTGTATTTGTTACAAGTGCAGGATGTTGTCTGTGTTAGTGACTGTTTGGTGTGCACTAAACATTCTGCAGTTGTTGCGTGGAGTTTTCTAGAAATGTTAACTTGGTCACATTGGTCGATAGTGCGTTTCAAGACTTATCCCTTCTGATTTCCGATTATTCCAGTAACTGCTGAGTGAGCAGTATGGGAATCTTCAGCACTGATTATGGGCTGGTCTGTTTCTCCTTTTACTTCTTGGCTCATGGAATTTGAAACTATAATTAGGTGCATGCATATTTAGTGTTGTTTTTTTTTAATGTCTTCTTGATGAATTGGGTCCACTGTCTTGAAATGTCCCTCTTTATTTCTGGTAATATGTTGTGAAATAGTTTCTGAAATAGCTCACCTAGTTTTGCTTGTTTGTTTGTTTTATTGCCTTCTCTGTGTGTCTGTCTCTCTTATGTCCGCTTGCATAGTTTTTGACAAAGTCTGATGTTATACTGTACCCCCTTATGTAAATTTTCTGTTCATTTGGACTGCTCAAAAGACTTTTTCAAATGATTGTTTTAGTCATTTGGTTAGGATGTGCCATAGTTTGGTTTCCTTTGAGAAAATTCTTAGCTTTTTTTTTTTTTTTTTAGATTCTTTACATTACAACCAAATCTGGAAACACTGTCTGCCATATTTTATGACACAGACAGGTTATCCCTGTGCTTACATGCCATTTGCCCTTATGGTTCCTATGTGGATTGCACTGGATGAACATCCATCTACATATATTTTGTCATTGTCTTATTTCCTTAGAATTTTTGAAAGTGGAATATTTTTCAAGGGAAGCTGAAATTTAGGTTTCTTTTTGAAAAAATATTTTAAATGTGGGTCAAATCATTTAAGAACCTTCAATCTAGAGCAGTGATGGCGAACCTATGACACGCGTGTCAGAGGTGACACGTGAACTCATTTTTTTGGTTGATTTTTCTTTGTTAAATGGCGATTGCACTGGATGAACATCCATCTACATATATTTTGTCATTGTCTTATTTCCTTAGAATTTTTGAAAGTGGAATATTTTTCGAGGGAAGCTGAAATTTAGGTTTCTTTTTGAAAAAATAATATTTTAAATGTGGGTCAGATCATTTAAGAACCTTCTATAGGATAGTTTTGAGTGACTGATTTTCAAAGACAATACTAAATGTTTTGTTCCCTGGTGCTTACTTCCTTTTCATTTTATATTTTACCCCAAGGTGGGCACATTTTCCCTACAATATTAATATCATCAAGATGCCCAAGATTCCCCAAAGTGTATCTTTAGCGCTTCTGTCTGAGCCTTTTGTCTAGCTTCCTGCTTGACATTTCCAGTTGCCTGACCCATGACCATCTCAAGTTTAATGTGACCAAAATTGAATTCTTAAGTTCCTCTCTTTTAAAGAAGGAATGAATCCTTATAGATTTTCTCATGATAGATGCCTGTTTGGTTGTTAAAAGCATTCAGTTGTTGACTGTACATAGTTACTTTATTAGAAAGTTTATTTTAGTAGCTTTTGATAAAATTTAACAGGTAGTTGATTATTAGAATCATCCAAATGGTGTGTTCTGATGAGCAACCTCAAAGAGTGGTGTTTATTTAATAAGGGACAAGTTGAAGTAAAGTTCACCTTCTGTTTAAAGTCCATGCTCTTAAAATATTGATGTACTTAAACCACAGGTTCTTTAAAACAGTAAACAAAATTGGTTGTAAAAGACTGAACATCTGTAATCAGTATTAGAATGACTTGTTCTGAATCTGAGTGCTAGATTCTGGTATCTCGCAAATAAAGACAACAGAACCCATATTGGGAATCTTGCTTAAACTCTAGTTCCTGGTTTTTTTAAATGACATACTACAAAAAATAATTCAATTACCTGAGAGTTCAGTTTAAACTGATTTTTTTACTGTATTAATTTTGCCTGAATACAGTGATAGGCCTGGCATTTAATTAGATTCATTTTTGCCCCCTATGGTAAAGATAGATTGCTTTCTCTATGGGCAAAAAAGTACCCAATGGTGTTCGTTAAAGATGGGTTTTAGTTTTCAAGGTAGGTTTTAAATGTTGCTATTTCTACGAAAACTCCTTGTATTAAAGGAGTTTAATACTCCTGCAATTATTTTAAAGGTGCATGCATACTTTTTAGAGTATTGTATTTTTTGAAAGTGTAGTAAAATGATCTTTGCCACTTTAGCCAGTTGAAGTGCACAGTCAGTGGCATTAAGTAGCTGCCCATTGCCGAGCAAGGATCACCATTATCTGCAGAGCCGTTCCATCATCTCCTATTGAAACCCTGCACCCATTGGCCCTAACTCCCACCCCCTCCCTCCGGTCCCTGGCAACTGCCTGTTTACTGTTTCTGTCTCTGTGCATTTGACAGCTCTAAATACCTCATGTAAGTGGAATTATATAGCATTTGTTCTGTGAATTTATCAATGTCCTAGTATTTGCGCCACATCCCTCAAAAAATATTTTTATCATGCAAGTTTTGAAAGCACTAGGTTTTTACACAACTGTCATTCACAATATGACAAATTATATAATGGCCAGTCATTCCACTAGAGAGAGAAAGGGAATAGAAAATCCTAGTTTTTGAATGATCCAGAGTCAGAGGAAAATGGACATGGGGCTCATAGGCCACACCCACCAAGTAGGGCGCTGGGTTGATTCTACTCGGGGGCATTGATTTTGGCTTCATCAGGGAGATGTCGTTCCGATGGATAAGGGTTCATTAAATAGCCACCAGAAGAACATTACAGTAAGTGCATATTATTAGGGAAGTAGAGAGTGTCTTTGTGGGTTGACAAATCGTACTTTTGCTGGTGTCGGTGGCAGTTTGCAGGAAGTTTGTAAAGGCAGATTGGAGCTATCAGATTGTTAGCCATCGGAAGCCTTTAAGGGTATTTGATAATGTTTACGAGGAGAAGCTCTGGAGCTAGACTCCTTGTGTTCATATGCTACGCTACGCCTCTTCCTGTGTGACCCTGGACACGTTACATACTATCTCTGTGTTTCAGTAATCCTAGCTATCAAATGACTCAGAAGATGGCAGTTAGGGTTGAATGAATGAAAACGTATCCGGTATTTAGAAAAGCGCCTGGTACACAGAAAAGTCTCCTAAGTCTTGGCTCTTGTTGCTATAGTCATAAGCCTCGAGGAAAAACTCAAGAGTTTACAGTCGCACTCTTGTAGCCAGGACTAGAGGTAAAAAAGACTTAAGAGATATTTTAGGGGTCGAGTGAACAAGGCTGCAACTTTTTTTATTTTTTGTTAATCCTCACCTGAGGATATTTTTCCATTGATTTTTAGGGAGAGTGGAAGAGAGAGGGAAAGACAGAGAGAAACATGGATGTGAGAGAAACACATCGATGGGCTGCCTCCTGCACGTGCCCCGACCAGGGCCGGGCCTGGGAGGAAGGGCTTCACCTTACTTACTGGTTTTATGTGACCAGAAATGCACATAATACTCCTGTCCGCATGCAGCATCAAAACAGGTTTGAAATTAGTACAGCATTGTCATGATTTGCAAATCTATAGAACCTAAATTTTCGAATTTGTGTTTTCTTTTAGATCTTACAGAAAATTTCAGCGGTAGCCCTGGGACTAGAAGCTGCAGTAACAGAAGCCGTGTATGATGCATTAGGCTATTGAAGAAAAATAATTTTTGAATAAAATATTTGGAACAGAAGGGAGGAAAGGTGACCGAAAATGGGGCGGAAGAAAATACAAATCACACGCATAATGGACGAAAGGAACCGGCAGGTAAATGAACGTCTTAATTTATCTATTTAACAGATGTACATATTTTTTCTTTAAAAAGGAGAGTAGGATAAACGGTGAATTTTTCTTACACATAATTTTAAGTCTAAATATTTTTATTTTTAGACTAATTACATATTTTAGCAATCAGAAAGTTTTGCCTTTTTATCATGTGCTTTAAGGAAACACTTTATTTCAGAAATCATACGTGTTAATTACAAAAACATAGGCAGAAAGAAGAAAAGTAAAATCCCTGCAGTGATTTTATGTACACTAATTGTGTACATTTTTCATAATATATTTATTCTTCTGTACATTTCATTATTAGTATCCTACATATTGATCATTTAAAATTATCACCTCTATTTTCATATGTAGGTAATTCTTAACTAAAGCTATCAGTGAATGCGTTCTGGTCAGTTAAATTTTCAGGTTAACCAAAAAATAATCATATTTTTTTACAACTCTTGTTATTACAAATATTCTACATCATTTATGTACCGGGTGGGCAAAAGTAGGTTTGCAGTTGTTTGTATAGAAATAATCTATATTAATAAAAGCGTAATATGCTAATTAGACCAGATGTCCTTCCAGTCGAAGCCGGGGCTGCGAGGGAAGCCCGGGTGCCAGGTGAAGCCCAGGTCCCGGGTGCCAGAGGGAAGCTGGTGCCGGTAGCCGGGGGAAGAAAGGCCTACTCTTGCATGAATTTCATGCATCGGGCCTTCACTAAATCTATACTAATAAAAGGGTAATATGCTAATAAGACCGGACATCTTCCGGACGTCCTTCCTGACAAAGCCGGGCCTGGGCAAAGCCCCCTGCTTGTGGTCCTGGGTGCTGGCACCTGCAGCTGCGGCTCAGGAGAGAGGGAAAAGCTGCACACCCCGAGGTCCTGGGTGCCTGCGGCCAGCCAGAGGGAGGGAAGCCCAGGTCCTGGGTGCCTGCGGCTGGCTGGAGAAGGGAACCCTGGGCCCCAGGTGTGGCGCCGAGGCAGAGGCGGTTAGGAGCAATCAGGCTGGCAGGGGAGCAGTTAGGGGCGATCAGGCAGGCAGAGGTGGTTAGGGGCGATCAGGCAGGCAGGCGAGCAGTTAGGAGCCCGGATTGCGAGAGGGTTGTTTGACTGCCGGTTGGGATTGGGCCTAAACCGGCAGTTGGACATCCCCCGAGGGGTCCCAGATTGGAGAGGATGCAGGCCGGGCTGAGGGACCCCCCCCTCCCATACACAAATTTCATGCACCGGGCCACTAGTAATAAATAATAATACAATAACAAACTGTGTTTTGCTTGTGCACAACAATTTGTATTTGTCTGAGAAGGTCTTTATTTCTTTTAAAGTACAATCTCAAGATACAGCATTTCAGGTTGGTGGGTCCTCCCCCGCCCTCCGACACTTGAAGCGTATCTGTGTGCTCGTCCGCATTGCATGTGTCTGAGGAGAACTTGGATGTAGTTCTTACATTTACACTCATGTGATAAGGTGCTTTTTTCCCCTCTGGCTTCTTTCAAGATATTCTTATCTTTGATTTTTATAGCTTATATATCATACGCCTTGCTGTCGTTTCTGGGTTTGGAGGGGTTTTTGTTTGTTTGTTGTTTGCATTTATTTTGCTTGGTGTTCTTTGAGCTTCCCGGATCTGTGGTTCGGTGTCTTAACATTAATTTGGGGAAATTCTCAAATGTTATGATTCAAATATTTCTTCTGTTATTTCTCTTTCTTCTCTTGCTGCTATTTACAGCTTCTGTTGACATGGCCTCGAGCTCGGAGGTTTCTCCCTCATTAGTTGCATCCTGCTGACGGACCCATCAAAGACAATCATTTATGTTAGTGTTTTTATTGCCAGCATTTAAAAAGAATTTTTTAGGAAAAGAATTTCCACCTCTCTGCTTACCTGTTGCTGCATGCTGTCTACTTTTTCCATGAGAGCCTTAGTATGGTAATCATAGCTGTTTTGAATTGCTGGTCCGATAATTCCAACATTTATTTTTATTTTTAGATTTTTAGAGTGGAAGGGAGGATGAGAGACAGAGAGAAACATCGATGTGAGAGAGACACATCGCTTAGTTGCCTCCCTCACGTGCCCTGATTGAGCCTGCAACTGAGGTACATGTCCTCGACTGGAATCGAACCAAGGCCCTTTAGTCCTCAGGCCGGTGCTCTACCCACTGAGCCACCCCGCCTAGGGCTGATTCCAGCAGGTCTGCCGTGCTTCTGATGCTTGCTCTGTGTCTGCAGACTGTTTCTTGCCCTTGAGTAAGCCTTGTAAGTGCTGAAAGCCAGAGGTGACGCCCTAGGAAGGAACGGCAGGAACAGGCCCCAGGACTGTGGTGGGGGGCCGGGGGGACGGGGGGGAGAGCGGGCGTGTTCTGGAGCCTCGCTGAGATATAGACTAAGTTGTGAACAAAAGTGACCACTGACTCCAGTCACATAAACGGAAGGACATGGGGATGTTAACAAGTCTTCATGGATCACGGGGAACGGAGTCTGATGGCAGCAGGCTGAGGCGAATGGGTGGCGTGAGATTGGAGAAGGTAGAGGTGTTTCTATCAGGCATGTGCACTCGGGGTAGGGCAAGAAGGGGCGGCACCTGAGGAGCAGGGCGGGGTCAGGAGAGGCCAGAGCACGTCCAGAGCGTATCGCTCTGGTGGAGAGGACGGGCCACTGGTGGGGAGGAGCCTGGAGTGTACGGGAAGGAATGGGAGCGAAGTGCCATCACCAACAGCAGAGACGGGAGGGCGTGGGAAGGTAATGGAGCGTTTGAACAGACAGACTTGGGATGAGAAGTGAGATGAGGGAGCTCCCGCCCATTTCTGTTTCCTCAGCGGAGAGTGGATTGGAGGGAGGGAGGTAGGAAGTAGCTGACTGGGAGAATGGGCCCGCCAGACACGCCAAGTCGTGGTTGCCAGGCAACACCGAGGGCTGGCTGAGGTTTATGATCATCAGTTTAGAAACACCAAGTGGTTGTGTGTGTGTGTGTGTGTGTGTGTGTTCCCAGAAGTGTGAGCTACTTGGATAGAGACGCAGGGATCATTGGGTATAAGGATGGGGGTCGGCCCCTGGGCGGGGCTCTGCAGGCAACTATATGAAGAGGGAAGAGGGAGGAAGTTGTGTTTGCAGGGAGTGAAAATAGTGATGGACCATGGGATCGACAGAGGACAGACGGTACCAGCGTGGTGAGATGAGTAACGGGGGTTGATAAGGGTGAAAGAGTTTCTGGAGACAGCACTCCGTGGGACAGCTGGAAAGGGGCCGGCGGAGTGGAACGGGTGAGATGATTGCTGGGAGGCGGAGTTACAGGTGTGCCTTCAGGAGCGGGCACTTGGCGTGTGGTAGAGGCTGATCATTTGGAGTTGGGAGACGCAGGAACTGAGAGGCCACGGTGTTTGCAGTGATCTTTCCCCCTCACCCCCGCCCCCCCCCCAATGCTGAGTCACCAGAGACAGAATACGAGCCGGGCTAGGCAGAGAGGTGGGTAGGTGATGCTCATCAGTGTGCGAGGGAGAGGGCCAGGGGGTCGCTGGGTGCCTGCCACAGGTGGTTTGGCTGGTATAAATGCCATGGCGTGAGCTGAAAGTACCGGGGGTTTTGAAGGGGAAGGAGGGAAAAATAATTTAGAAGAGACTAGGGAGCAAAAAGGACGTATCTTCCAGGCTGAACAAAGATCGGTCTCTGTTGGAGAGGCCTGCAGGGATGGGAAGAACGTTGAGAGGACATTAGGGAGCGGGCTGGTCCTAGGCTGTGCGTTTCAGTGGGTGCGACACGAGGGCCTGGGAGAGGGCGCGTTAGGTCAGATGTGCTCAGTTCAGTTGTGTGGGGAAGAGTTGAGTGAGGAGGGGTTTCTGGAGGGAGGACTTGGGGTTTCTGGTGGGAACCATTTTAAGCCAGACGGTCAGGGGCCACCGGCACTTGTTTCCTTCTGTGGTCCTTTGCCTCCTGCAGGAGAGTGTGGCCAGGGGTAAAGCAATAGCCCCTAGGCGGCTGCCCTACCAGAGCCCGTGGAGGTACCAGATCCACACGGGACTGTCACACTATGGCAGATGGGGAGGTAGAGGCTCATGGGGGGTGTGAAGCTAGGAACCTTTTCCATCTTCAAACTCGGACTCAGCATTAAGAAGACTCATTTTCAGGGAGCCTGTGTTCAAGTACTACTAATGCTTTTTACAAATGTTTTTAATTGATTTTTAGAAAGAGAGGAAGGGAGAGGGATGGAGCCACACCGGCAGGGTGACGACTAAAGCTTTTAATAAAAATGGCCTTTTCCCCTTTGCTTGCCTAGGTCACCTTTACGAAGAGGAAGTTCGGGTTGATGAAGAAAGCCTATGAGCTCAGCGTGCTCTGTGACTGCGAGATCGCGCTCATCATCTTCAACAGCTCCAACAAGCTGTTCCAGTACGCCAGCACCGACATGGACAAGGTGCTGCTCAAGTACACCGAGTACAACGAGCCGCACGAGAGCAGGACCAACTCGGACATCGTCGAGGTAACGGCCCGCTCCGCCTGAACCGCAGGCATAACCGCGTCTTTCATTTAACAGCTGTAACTGTTAGATGCTTTCTACATCCCAGCTATAGATCAGTCATAGATACATCTTGTCTCTGAATCATTTCTTTGTTTTTAAATATATTTCTATTGATTTCAGAGAGGGAGGGGGAGGGAGAGAGAGATAGAAACACCAGTGATGAGAGAAATCATTGATTGGCTGCCTCCTGCATACCCCCCCAGGGGTCGAGCCCGTAACCCGGGCATGTGCCCTGACCGGGAATGGAACTGTGACCTCCTGGTTCATAGGTCAATGCTCAACCACTGAGCCACACCAGCCGGGCTGGATCATTTCTTGGGAGGATCTAGTTGTTGCATGGGATGAACCACTTCGGCTATAACCGTGTCCTACTCATGGAGACACAATAAACAAGGCTGTGGTACCATAGACCCGGCATCAGCTAGCACGTCCCCTGTTTTTAAGTTAATATTCTAAGAAACGATTATCACTGAGTTACAGCTTTAATGTCTTAATTGTGTGATTATGTCAGTGATTGCCCACAACTCTAACCACTAATGAAGTGAAAGGAAGGGAAGTCGATACGATTTCTCTTTTGCTAACAGCGCTTTAGTTGTGGGGGAAGGGTGTCTTCATTCTCCTCCATCTGCTGCCCGTCAGTATCCTAATCCCGCCAACCTCATTGGCGGGAAGGAAAGAGACGGGATTGTTTTTAGAACGATTTCTCTCTATTCGGAAGTGGTGTTCTAAAACAAAGCCTTCAAAAAGGAGGACCCGCATGCTTCCCCTTGCAAACTCTTCTCATAAAAGCTAGCGTCCCGTGTATGTTCCTAATGGCATTTCCAGTTAGCTCAGTCTTTACTTTGGTCTTATTTGTTATATTTGGAGATTTTGCTTCATTTTTATTCATATTTATTTTACTCCTTGAAAAGAGAGGCACTTTGGCTTCATCTTGTAATATTAGAAAATGATTTCAATAAATGAGGTATTTCCTTGGTGAAAGTACTGGAACAATGTGAAATGATGCACAACCAACTATAAAAGGAGGAATGACGCTCCAATGGAGATTTCATTCAAATCATTGAAATTTAGGTGAAGATACTTTATTGTGTAGGAATCTATTTTCTGCCACAGATTTTATTATAGATCTGACAATGAGATTTATATGTTTTCCCTATATTTCTCTGCCTTAGCCATTCCTTTTTTCACAGTAATTGTGACTGCCAAAAAAAAAAAAATTCTCCTACTTGTATTAAAAGAGCCCTTCTGTTACTTTTAAAGCAGTTAATTGTTTGAAAATAGAAGGAAAAGTGCAGCATAATTACAGTGAGGATTCGTCTCTGCTGCTTGGTTTGCCGGGTTGTATTTCAGTGGCTCACTCGGGGAGCCGCCCCTGACAGTGTCTGACGCTTTTGTTTGGCGCTTGTTGAGCGCTTCGCTTAAACTGCGTGGTGACGTTGGCTACGCCCCTTCACTGTAAATTACTGTATATCATTGAGCATTTTTGGTCCATCTCATCACTTACATCCAGCACGAACTATGCAGCAGCCTTTTCCCTTCATATAGACACAGTGAATTTTGAGTCATAACTTTGTAAATGAGGAGATCACCATTCGGGTTCGCTTTAATATGGATTTAACTGGATTTTCTTGAAATGGGGATGATCCCTGTGTGTCTAGTTTAAAATGATATCTTCTTTTTTAAATCTCGATTTCTTATAAAAGGTTGCAGTGCCTTAAGTCAACCAAAAAAAAACAGTTGACTGTAATACTGTCAACAAATAGTTGTCGGAGCTGGTTTCCCTGTGGAAGGCGCGGCCACCTTCTGACCTGATTCTCTGCTCTGTGACGGGGGCAGCAGTGTCGCTCTGGGCCCCAGAAGTCGAGCGTGCGTTGCACAGGCAGCGTGTGCCTCCTCAGAGACCAGGAAGAATACGATCTCACTCGGTCCTCCCAGAGCTTCCAGGAGACACCCCGTCTTCATCTCTGCGTCCGAGTGTCGGGGAGCAGGTCTCAGCCCTTCTCAGCCGTCTCCTATGTTGCTACATCTGCTTCAATAGGAAGGAGAACTTTTGCAGCCCAGGTATCCACTGGGATTCTGATATTTTCTTTAGAGTTGGAATTCGTAGAGGGAACATAACTCTTACCAGCAGGTTTTTATGAAGTTCATAAATGCAGAGGGTAGGAGACAGTTGATGATCAGGGACTCATTTGTTGTGGTAGAATGCGTGCTAAGGCTTGCTTCTCCTTTGCTGTGTGTTAATGCCTTGCTGAGGTCGCCTGCGTTTCAGACAGCGGTGGGTGCACCTGTAAGATGTTCTTTCTCCCACATAGAAGGTGCCACAACTCAGCCGCACTAGCAGTGCACACGTCTGAGTCCTTCTATCAGCCGTGGCCCTGGCTTATGCTCATGCAGCACAGACTCTGAGCCACCCCGAGTTCACCAGATAAGAGAAATGACAAATCCTCATATCGAGCTGCCTAGGGCCCAGACACTTCACAGCGCTTTACAGATATCTCACTCAAAGATATTTTTAGAATGCGATTGTATTTCCCCTTTTCCGAGTTCCCTTTCAAACAGCTGTAGGCATTGCAAGCCCACTTTCTCATGTCCATTTGCTCATTGGACAACAGTAACTGGGGGCTTTGAGCGTGGGCTCTGCAGTGGTGTTACTTGGAGAGCTCCAGCTCAAGCCAGTGCCCGTTCCTCCTGCCCAAGTTTGATAACCCACTGGGATCAGCTTTTTCCAGCCGAGGGTTTTATATCCACGAACTTCTAACACGTTGGTGTGCGGTGGGCTAGACTCTTTAGCCTTCTCATGTAGCATGAAATGGAAGCATATAAACCGCTATAAGCGGTCGACTCTAGTGTGTTTCCTTATGCAATGTGGTCAAGTGTAACTAACTGGGAACCTGGTGAGCAGCTTTCCTAAGGCCTCTAGCTGAATTCACCCATTTCCGGGTGCATATTTGTTCGTCTCTACAATCGGCAGGATTTTACCTGAATGTCCTTTGGCAGAGCGTTGACTATTAAAGTGGAGTCAACTGTAGATGCATTTCCATGTGTCCTACACACCAGCCCTTTTGGGACGCACTGTGAAGAGAGAGGGCGGGTGTTCTGTGTTAGCCACACCTGCATGGTCTGCAGCATGAGGACACGTGTGTTGTGCCTGTGGAATTGGATCTGTATGTTGTCTGGGAGCGCTGTGCTAAATACATACTAAAGCTGTTGGTGTTGGAATCTTGTGGGATAAACAGATAGTGAGAAAGACACAACACTCATTTATCCACCTTCCAATTTTTAAAAAGAATATTTTTATTGATGTCAGAGAGGAAGGGAGAGGGAGAGAGAGAGAAACATCAATGATGAGAGAGAATCATGGATCGGCTGCCTCCTCCACACCCCACACTGGGGATCGAGCCCACAACCTGGCATGTGCCCTGACTGGGAATCGAACTGTGACCTCCTGGTTCATAGGTGGACATTCACCCACTGAGCCAGGCCAGCCGGGCACACCCTCGTGTGGAGTAGGGTTTGTGTAGGGGAGTGATCCGGGTAAGGAAGGGTCAGGTGGAGATAGTTGATGGGGAGAGCGCCTTGAACGCCAGGCTGTGGCATTTGACATTTGTCCCATGGCCCTTGGCCACAGAAAATGAGCATTTTAAAGAGGTTTACAGCTTTTGAAAATAGACTGTTCTCTCATCTCTTAATTCCATAGGTTGTTAGTAATGCTGAGGTGTATGAAGGAGAGTGCGTCTCACTTGGGGAAGGGAGAGTAAGTGGGGTGCAGGCTGTGTCCTGAAGGAAAAGTCCGGGTACTTCTGCTGACAGGCAGTCTGTACCTCCCGCCCCCCCCCCCCCCCCCACACACACACACTGCAGAGCCTGCGCAGCCAGCCGTGTGCTCTGGGAAAAGCCACCTTCACGGGAAGTGTAACCTGCACTGGGAAAGGCAAAATGATCAGACTTCTTAGAAGACAAAGGGGAAAATGTCTGCCTAATGTTGAGGAAGGGAAAGCGTCTTATCCAAGACATAAAAATTACTGCCATAGGGGAAAACTGTAAAGGAGAAAGTGGGGACATTCGACTTTATTAAAATTAAGAACCATTTTCATCCAAAGACAGGTATTAAAAAAACATGCCAAAGAATGGGGAAAGGTTTTTACAGCGCGTACAATCAGCAAAGGACTTGTGTTGATTACAAATAAAAAATGGCTCTAAAGCAATAAGGAAGAGAAACAGCTCAGGAGAAAACTTGGCAAAGGACTTGACAGGCACTTCACACAAGAGAAAACCCAAATGGCCAGTAGATATGACATGTGCTTTATTGTCTTAGTCATGAGAGCAACGCAGACTCAGTCCTCGTCGCAGGTGGGACATGTCCGCTGATACAGCTGCTGAGAAACAGTGTGGCATCGTCTGGTCCAACTGAAGAACATTTTATGAACTAACAGCTTCACTCAATTACTTTAGAGAGATGTGTGCAGATGTGTAGACTATCTGCAAAAATGTACATACGGCCCGACCGGTGTGGCTCCGTGGTTGAGGGTCAACCCATGAACCAGGAGGTCAAGGTTCAATTCCCAGTCAGGGCACATGTCTGGGTTTCAGGCTCAATCCCCAATAGGGGGCATGCAGGAGGCAGCTGATCCATGATTTTCTCTCATCATTGATGTTTCTCTTTCTCCCTCTCCCTTCCTCTATCTGAAATCACTGATCGGCTGCCTCTTGCATGCCCCCTGTTGGGGATCGAGCCTGCAACCTGGACATGTGCCCTGACCAGGGAATTGAACCATGACCTCCTGGTTCATGGGTCGATGCTCAACCATTGAGCCACGCCGGCCGGGCTTGATGTACTTTTCTTTATGTATGCTTCACAATTAAAATAAAAAAAAATTAAAAGTTTTTATGCATTTTCACCTTGTCTAGGAAACATAAGAAGTGTCTTTCAAAATTGGGAACAATTATTAAAAATGGGGAAAGGGAGAACTTTTCTCATTTAAAAAATCCTAATGGTCTAAGTTCCTTGCGACTTACGACATTATTCTGTTATTTCACACGTGCTCATTTGTACCTTGTGCTCCGTCTGACTGATTCCCCACTCAGCCAGCACCCAGGGAGCATGCGCTGCTCAGCTGCCTGCGGAAGGGAGGGTGAGGGTGGGTGGCGAGAGCTGGAGGCATGTACTCTGAGCTGCTTGGGCAGTTAAACCCGGGCCGACACCTCTGAGTACTTGCAGGCCCGTAGTTTCACTTCTGAGTGCGGAGGCTCCGTGAGTGTGGAGTGGAGTTTGACAGTTACCATCCCAGAATGGAGCACACACTAAGGAACATGCTAGTTCTCTTAGGCAGGAGTTAAACACGCAGCTTCTCAGGCCTGGCCCTGCCGACCAGGCAGGTGGCGGCTCCCGGGAGCCGTGGAGCCGAGGCCGGCCTGTGTCTTCTCCGCCTCGCCCGGCCTCGCAGATCACAGCATTCCACTTGTTAGCACCCGGGCCCGGGAGCCCTCGCTGTGGGCTGTGTGGTCACGATAAGGAGACGGAAAAGGCCTTTTTAGGTAGCGGGTCCTCAGAACCGCTCTCCGTGCTCGGGCGATAAGGACGCAGTTGGCTCCCGGCAGAGGCACATTAGTTCCTTATCTGCGGCTGATAGCAGCTCGCATTCCCTCCAGGACCGGCGGTGAGAGCCACTCCCCGGAGAGCAAGCAGGCTGACCCCACCGTTGTGCAGTGAACACTGGGTGTAACTGCTAAACAGGCCATGTTTCTTCGTAACAAAAGGTGTTCAAAGAGACACGCACTTGGTGATCGCTGTCAGTGAAAGTGCAAGACTGCGTGGTCTACTCGGAAGGCTGAGGAAGAGGAGGGAGCTGTCCGGGGACGTGGGGCCGGGAGAAGTCGGCCGCCTCATGATGACATGTGCGGAGGCACCTGCTGTGTGTTCTGTGTCAGGGCTGTGCGGGCATGGAGTTCCTCGGAGCGGAGTTCTGAGTGTTAACACCTTCCTGCGATAGCAGCTCGCGGGCTTTGGCAGGGCGGGCGCTGCGGGGGGAGGGGGCCTGTCCTCATCCTGGGTTCCAAACAACAGGACCTTTTATGGCCAAGCGCACGCCGGCGTCCCTGTGCTGAGTGAGACCGCAGCCCCGAGGGCTCAGGCCGGTGCTGGGACCAGCTGCAGGGTGTGCTGGATGCTATGGTCGGAGACTGGTGGGTGTCGGGCATTGTGCGTGGGGCTCCTAGCACATACCGAGTAGTTTGAGACGCTAATATATCTGTACTAATGATTTTTGATGGTTCTTTAAGCATGAAAAGAAAATCAAATTTAGTGAAGTGAAATCGTAAAATAACTACTTCAGAGAAACTAAGAAAAAAGTCACAAATCTTAATGTATTGTGTGATTACTTTTTACTTCTTCCAAGAAAAGAGGAGTAAAAGTGGCATTCACAATTATTGTAAGTCATGTTTTAAAGGAGGCCAAAATCTGTTACGATGGATTAATTTAAAAGATTCCTCAATCAAATTTAAATAATTATTTATGAATGAACTTATCTAGTGCTGGTCTATGGATCAAACCATTTCCTAGTTAAATGAACTCTGGGAGGTAGGCTTACCTGGAAAATTTCACCTTCCTAAAGCTTCCCTTTGGTTGGCTAGAAAATCAACAAATCTCAAAGCTACTTAAGTTGTTGGACCCAGGAATTCTGTGAAATAAGACCCACGAGGACTTTTAAAAACAGACCTTCTAGAAGTAAGTTAGTATTCCATAGATTGTCAAGCCCTTGGTTTTAAATACTGGACAAATCATTTCATGATGATTTTTCATTTAAAAAATTTAAAAGTAGAAACCCAGCTGTGCAGAGTATTTTCACTATATTAGTAAGAAGAAGAAGAAAAGTCATTTTGGTGCAGGGATACTTGCTGACATTCGAGAAAATTCTCCAGGAAGTCACTTGAGTGGATTAAGTTAACCCATGAAGTGCTATGGAAAGAGCAGGGGAGATAATGCTGAGTCACTTATTTTTACAAATTTTAAAAAGATGTAAGGGCGCTAATACATTCATTCTATATAGGAAGGAGTCGTTACTGTCATATATTAAGTATTTGAGTTTGTATACTTCCAAGTTATGTAGGAAAATGATCATATTTCAGAGCAGGTGAAGAAGGAAATTTTGGGGATATTGTGCTGATTTGATTCTCTCTGGGGATTAGGATAAACTCTCAGAGCACAGTCAGTAGATGAAGTTGCTGAATGTCCATTTTTTTTAAGGTACATCCTAACTTCTTAGGGCATCATCATGATACATTTCTATTTGGGTTCCCACGCGCATTAGCCCTCTCGGGTATGGGGGTGAGGCGCTCATCAGGGTGGGCTGAGGCTGGAGAGCGGTGAGCCATGGGTCGGTATTCTCTTGCAAGTTCGGAAAGGAAGAGTCCACACAAACACTCCTTTGCTGTTGGGGTGCAGAGGGAACATGGATTTTGCTTCTGCCTCACCGAGGAATGAAGTCCATGTGATCACGTGAGACCATGCCAGTGGCTCCTGTGTGCTCGTAGTCGACGTTACAGAAAACCTCGCGGCACGTCAGTATCCTGTGTGTGTGAACTTTCCAATTGTGTTTCAGACGTTAAGAAAGAAAGGCCTTAATGGTTGTGAGAGCCCCGATGCTGACGATTACTTTGAGCACAGTCCACTCTCGGAGGACAGATTCAGCAAACTAAATGAAGAGGGGGATTTTATGTTCAAACGAGGCCCTGTAAGTACTTCCCCTCGCCTCTACTTGTGATGTGTTGATCCTTTTTGTTAACTTCATCGTCTAGGCTCTGAACAAGAAGGAGCACCGAGGGTGCGACAGCCCAGACCCCGATACTTCCTATGTGCTAACGCCACATACAGAAGAGAAGTATAAAAAAATTAATGAGGAGTTTGATAATATGATGCGGAATCATAAAATCGCAGTGAGTACTACCGTCTGGTTTGTGCTTTTAACTTGTGCATGAAGAGACTGACCACACGTCTTGTTTATTTTCAGTGACGGCAGTGATAAGTAGGAGGAGGAAAAAAAGCGTATTTTACTTTATAGAACTTTAGGTCAAAATTGCTGAAATCTCATCATACCTGTTCAGTGCCTTAAACATAGACGTGAGGAGAAACGTTCTAATCAGGCTCGCTTCCCACTGCGCCCTGTACCTGTGGGTAGGGCACCTACCACGTCCTGGATTCCATTTTTCTTCTCTGTAAAGGAGTGGGTTGCCTCACATCATGTTTAAGGTCTCGTCAGCTCTGAATTTCAGCGATTTTAACTGTAGGGTGCATATGACTGCCCTCTCCCTCCTAGGACTTAAAAAAATATTTCATGCACTTTAAATAGATATTGAGACTATGGGCTATTAAATGGTTAGATTTATTTAAAAATTTGCTGTTTCAGAATTATTATTAAAATATATTTTTATTGATTTCAGAGAGGAAGGGAGAGGGAGAGAGAAACATCAATGATAAGAGAGAATCGTGGATCGGCTGCCTCCTGCACGCCCCCTACTGGGGATGGAGCCCGCAACCCCGGCATGTGCCCTGACTGGGAATTGAACTGTGACCTCCTGGTTCACGGGTTGACGCTCAACCACTGAGCCCCGCTGGTGGGGCTCAAAATTATTTTTCCTCATGTTGTGTAGTTGCTGTAATCGTAGCAGCTCACTGTTTGGCTCTTTGTAAATGTCTTCAAACCACTTGGCAACAACATCTCCTGTGCTTTGCTGAGCCTGTGGGCACCGGGGAAGGGAGCCCCGGCTCTATTTCAGTTTAAGAAGCAGCTTCTTAACCTGGTTGCAGAGTGAATAGTCGTTGAGAACTGTCCACGCTCACACCTCCAACCACAAGGAAACGGTCTTCCTTTGAGCTCACGCTCCTTGGACAGCTCTTCAGAGTTCTCATTGGAAGCCCCGTTGGCAAGAGCTCCTCACGGCAGCTGTTGTGAATCTGAGTCTCAAACGCTGAGTGTCGTGTAGGCCTCACGGGACACGTTGGTTCTGATGCTGACATTTATTTCACCGTCAGAGTTAACGCTCTTAAAACTATGCCCTGAAGTATGCATCATGGGTTATTTCTTCAGAGCAGTCCTATACTGTACACGCCACTCATGAAAGATAGACTTAAGGACATATTTTTGTGCTAATACCATCGTTGTCTTTAAAAACAAAACAATAGCAAACAAAACAATAAAATTCCTTCTGACCTCATAGGGATGTTGGTGACCCTGCAGTTAATGTTAAGCTGCAAAAAATATTGTGTAAATACAAGTGTTTACCTTTGAAAAAATTTTAAATCTTATGTCCATTGTTTCGTGTCTGTTAATGAATTATAATTTTCTACCTGAAATAAACCATTGAATAGAATATATAAACTGTATTCTTCCAACTTTGAATTAGCAGTGTTTCCTTACTTTGCAAATCACTTTAAAAAAGTCTGAAGAGGAAAGGTTTTTCTCTCATTTTAAATGATAAAAAGGATTGTTATTTATCATGGTTAACACATCCCTTGAAAATGGTCTATGCAGGAATGAAAGAGGAAAACAGAAAATACTTTGAAGGGGGTGTGGACTGTTTGGAGGGAAGGAAGATAGCATTGATAATAGTTATAATTTAATCATCAGACAATTTAGAGAGAGCTTGTCAGTTGTTAATTTTATTGTTTAGATTATTTTTTCCCTTTCGTTACACTCGGATTGCTTTGTGCTACATATGTAACTTAATTGTTGTTTTTAGTTTTGTCCATTAAGAATGTCAGTCAATTAAATCATTCCAGGGTTATTTTAATGTCTGAAATTCTATGTATTAAGTTTATAATATTTCTACACACTTTGCCCTTTTTATTATAATGGGAATCTCCCAATAGAAATGTAATGTTACTAAACTGGTTTCATTAAAGTGATGATTTATGCTTAACTTGGTAACATGATATATTTTGTAATGTCTAAATTTGACCACAGTACTTTAACATTAGGTTGACTTTTTTATCTCTGAATGTTTGAAATATATAACATATACATTATGTCAGAATATATGTATTAATACATAAAAAATGGAAAAGGTTCATGTGAAACATACTCCTGTTTAAATATAATTCTAAAGGAAAGAGCTTACACCTGCAAGTTGAAGATTTATAAGGATCTGTCCCCATCCTCTGCTTTTAATAACTAGTTAGTTAGTGAAGTTCATAAGTGAATGCGTTTACATAGATGGAAATGAAACTGACAGCTTCTCTTCTTGTTCTTTCTTTACAGCCTGGGCTGCCGCCTCAGAACTTCTCCATGTCCGTCACGGTCCCTGTGAGCAGCCCGAACGCTCTGTCCTACACCAACCCCGGGAACGCCCTGGTGTCCCCGGCGTTGGCAGCCGGCTCCGCGTTGGCGGACTCGGGCAT